AAATAGAGTCGAAAATAAAAATTGAACGTGAAAGGTTGAACCTAAAAATTTTATTTAAATAAAAATTCAAATTTTAAAAATTAAATTTTTTTAAAGTAATTGAATTTGAGAGATTGGTCTTGATAAATTATGTAAAAAAGAGCTTAGGTCCGGATGGCCCTTTAAGCCTATTATATTATTATCATTGTTTTAAATTTTTTTTGTTGCATTTGATTGGTTTAAAAAAGAAACCCTACTATTAAATCTTAAATCCCGAATCACTCAACTTTCTAAACCTTGTGATTGTCTCTTACTTCTCCTTGCTCATCTCTCTTTCACCACCTTATGCCCTCAGTCATAGCCGTCAGCTACTCAACCTCATGTCTCTTGTTTCTCATCTCTCCCTCACCGTCTCACCTCACATCTCATCCCTCCGATGGATCAAATTCTGCTCTCCTTCTTGCCTTTCGCATCTAGTTTTGCCTCTCACATCTAGTTTTGCATTCACATGATGTCACTATATGGTCCCCTTCTCAGTCATTGTATTTTGAATTATTTATGAAGAGGACCAGTTTAATATTAATCTCTCAATAAAGCTATTATTATTTTAAATTTGTTCAATTGATATTTAAACTATTATTATTTTAAGTTTGTTCAATTGATATTTTTGAGGTGCAGTGAATTTTAATATTAAGATTGATTATGAAGATTTATATTCATATTGATGAAGATTTAATCTTCATCTTAAATTCAGACAGTAAATTTTTGTTTAATTTTATATAAAATTTTAATTTATTTTATATTAAATTTAAACTTTTAAATTTATCTTGAATTAAAATGCCAGATTTTATTTTTTTAAAAAAAAGCTGAGTCTCAGAATCAAATTAAATTTTAAATAATAAAACTTTAAAATTTGAGCTCTTAAAGATCGAGTCTAAAAAATCAGACTCGGTCGGGTCTATCCTAATTCCCTTCTCTATATGCGAAGGCATAATTGCTTGTCAACAAAGAGAAGTCCCCCAGCCTGACAGTGGAAAAGTTAGTGGCCGAAAGCAAAGCAGCATCAAATAAATGCGGAAGACATACCAGTAATTAGCACCATTGAGGAGAAAATAAATATTATATTGCACTTTTATATTATATTCAAATTTTAATGAAAAATATCAAAACTAAAATTTCATCACTTCCCTTCCCATGCCTTTCATCCATGTTCTCTCCAACGGCTAAAGCAAATAACAATGGCGGGCTCCTTTTAATTAATTTTCTTCTTGTTTTTTTTAATATTGGAACATGTCCATTAAGGAAGGAAATCAATCAACAAACTACTTGGTGAAGAAAGAAGAAAAAGGAAAACAATCTGTCTGGGATTTAGGATTTGCCATACAACATGGCGCATATATATATTACCCCCGAACTATAATTTATGTTATTGGTAAATAATTTACATTTTATGTAAAAAAATAATTTTTTTTCAAAAATGTCCATATTTTTACATTTACACCCTTGAGTTTTCATAATAACACATGCATGGTCTTTAAATATGGACAAGAAATATTAAAAAAAAACAAAATCAAGGGTATAAATGGTAAAAAAATATAAAATTTAACCAATCTCCTATATTTTGGACCAAGAGATGCCTATAGAAAGTAACTTACTCCCTCCAAATTACAATATAAAGTATCTTCTAGAAACATTACTTGGTCCAAAATATAAAACATTGAATAACTTTTATATTTGTTTTTCCATCTATATATGCTCTTACTTCATTTATTACTCCTTTTGAAAAATTCATATATTTGAATTTTAATTGCTCACTTTATCTCAAATTATAAGATACTTTTAGATAAAATTTTATATAGTAATAAATCTCATTAAATATATGTAACACCTTTATATTTTCAAAATAAAAATATAAATTTTCTAAAATACTCATAATTTAATATATTAAAAAGAGAAAGGAAGAAAATTAGTTATAGAAAGAGAAAGGGCAATATTAAAATTGATGCATTTAATAAATCATTAATTTATTTAAAGTATCTTATATTTTAAGATAGAGAAACTCTTTTAAAGTATATTATAATTTAAGATGAAGGTAATAATACATAGTATTGGGGCTTTTACATAAGATACTTAATGAGTATATAAATAAAAAAATATAAACATTTTTTAAAAATTTAATATTTTAATTAAAATTGTTTATAAAATGTGAATTAATTAGCTATGACTTCTATTGTGTGGTCTTGAGGTTCCGGATGGGGTAATAGATTATTCATTACTTTGTAAATGTTACTTTCAAGTTTCAAATAATATAGTACCGATGCACGGGTATTTTTAGATAAATAAAGAGCAAATTTAGCATAAATGAAAGACAAGACTTTCATTGTAATATGTCGCAAACCTTGGTGATGTCAAAGCAAGTTGGGCAATAGGCTTGTTTAATTAGTTGATGGCGCACGGCTTGCACCTTGAATTTGATATGATTGATGCATACAAAAATTAAATGGACAATGCAAGTATACGAGTCAATATATAATATACTAATGTGTCAAGGTTGATCTCACAGATAATTAAATACAATGATAAGTAGGTATTAAATTTTTAATTTCATTCAAATCAAGCAAATCACACGAGCATTTATAAATGAAAAAAAATTAACAATTAGGGGTCAAAAGCAATTAATTCTACCAAATAAAAATTTTATAAAAAAGATTACCTAAGCTCCTAATCCCTTATTTACTTCTTAGAATCTATTTCCTCCAAATTACTTAAGATTAATTTTGTTTGATAAATCTAGAGTCTAATTAGTTGAAATTATCTTCCGAATCAATTATGAGCCTCTCTTAAATAATAACGCAAATGTTAACACAATTATCTAAGAGGCACTAAAAGTTTAGTAATACTTAATACAATTATCCAAGAGGTACTAAAAATTCAGTAACACTTTAATACAATTATATGGGTCCAAGGGATATATTCCTATCTTAATGGCAAATTAGAATAAATTCTAATCTCATATTACCTTATCTCAAGGTCCATTTAAGATTTTTTTTTCCAAAATAAACTCTAAACCCCTAAATCTCAACTTAATGATAGCCAATCATCAAGCAAGTCATCATAAATGAGATTAAGTGACTCAAGACTAACATTAATCACGGAATAATTAGAGAAAATAGTATCTAATACATAAACAAATTCATAGTTGGTTAGGTCATGAAGAAAATCTAGCTATACATTAGTAAATTTAGTCCCATATCAAAATGAAGAAGCCAAACCAAAACATTAGAGAAGAAGGAGAAAAACAAGATTAAATTAGAAGAAATCACAAAATGTGGATGAATCATTTTCCTCCAAGCTCCTAGGTCAGTGCCTAACCTTCAAAATCGCCTCCTTTGGTCCAGAGAACTTCTTAAAAGTCGAACTTACTCAAGCTCTTGTGTTTTCTCACTTTTCTATTTGAAAAATTGATGCTTTTGCATTTCTAGTGTGAAATCTACTACAATGGGCACTATAACATGCTTTGTTTTTAGTTTAGAATTTACTTTATAATACTGACTCGCTATGGCGGTTATTATAGCGAGTGATCATAACAATTAGTTTTTTTTTATTAAATTCATTATATTTCCTTTTTCACCTCTTCCATGCTCTTGTAAAGTTTTCTAAGATTCAAAATGACTCAAATTAACAAAAGAAAATACTCTAAAACAAAATCAAAATACAATATTTACAAAACAAGCCAATTAATATCAAAATAAATATTAAACACAAGACAAATAAACAAAAATAACTAGAAGACTACTTGAAAGATCAATAAAACTCTTCAAAATATATAAAATATAGAGATTCATCAATGATTAAGATTACAACTTGAATCCTCTTATGCCTTGTCATTGATTATACCGAATCACAACTGATGATGCATAGAAAAGAACTAACTTGCAATTAAAATATAATTAAATAAATTTATTCCCAAGACTCACCTCACGTGGCTTCATAAAATTACATTATAATTTCAAAACGAATGCTTGCATCAAAGTATCCATGATTCTAATATATAATATTCTATTCTGCACCTTAAGGGTGTTTATAGGTTGGTTTGGTTTTAAAGAAAAATTAGATCGAATCAAATCAATTAGTTAACTATAGTCTGAAACCTATTTGATTTTTTCTCCAATTAATTTGGTTCAGTTTAGTTTAGGTTTGGATTAAGTTTGAATTTTTTTAATGAGATATTTTTCTTAATCACTAATATATATTCATGTTCATTGATAATTTTTAACTATTAATTATTATTTGCAATGAAAAAAATCTATTGCACACAAAATAATATTTTTTGACAATTAATTAATATATTTAACTATTATTCAAAATCAATATATTTTCTTTAAAACACTTGATTATAAAATTTAAAAATATCTTAAACAATTATAAATAATATTTAACTAATTGTAACTTATTTTTATTAATAATTTACAAATAAGTAAACTTGAAAAAGGGAAAAAAACTTTGATAAATTTATAAAAATATATAATTAATATAATAAAACTTAGCTTGGTTTGATTCAATTCAAGTTTTCATAAGAAAAAATTGAAACCAAATTGAATCAATTGATTTTGTAAAAAAAAAAAAATCAAACCAAATTTTATTTATAATCAATTTTAATGAGTTCATATCAGTTTGATTCAGTTTAATTTAGTGTGATTGGTTTGAATTTATTTTAAATATTTTTGCTTTGCATTCACTCTAATAATCAACATGGATGTAATAATTCAGAAAAAAAATAATATAAAATTTACAATAATGTAAGTTAACTATATTTTTACATTTTAGGGACAAAATTATCAAGCCAAGCCGATGGTGTTGAGGCAAGCAGCGAGTATTTTTGAGATTAAAACTACGGTGTCAGGTTCGATTCCTTCTTTTGACTTTCTACTTTTATAAAATTACCATAAGGTCCTTGTTTGTCTGATTTATTTCTACCCCCCGATCCGATTTCTGCGATCTTTACGCTAGCTGAGAGAAGGAGAGAAATCTGAGAATCCTGAACCTTCGGCCTTAGCTCTTCTTGGATTCCACCGGCGTTCTCCAGCCATCATTCCTCTTTAGTCTTCAACATCGCCGGCGTGAGTGTGCTAGAGAGCGTCGTCCGTCACTGCTGCCGCGAGGTTCTCCTCTTCCCTGCTCTGCTGTTGTTTAGTTCAAACCCTGCACGTGCGCTTGAGTTGGTTGCTATCAGTTCTTCTTCTTTCTTTTCCGCCAGTCAGCTTGCTGTTGTTGACAGGTGCGACAGCTCCGTCCGCCATTGTTGTGAAGTTCTACTGTGAGTTTTCTTCCCCTGGTTGTCTCTGTTCGCTGTTCATGTGTGCCATTTTTCTTTCTTCTTCTTCCTTGATTCTGGCTACCGGAAATAGTTCTCTTCTCCTTGAGCTACTGTGATTTAGCGTACAAGGTTCCTTTCTTCTTTCTCTGTTCAACGCGACAGATTTGTCCTTCTCCTTTCCTGCTCCGCCATGTTTAATATAAGTTGGGGAGATTCCAATCGTTCACTGCTTCACTGTCCTTTGTATGCTATTTGGTTGATTGTGATTTTTTTTTTATTGTTTCCGTTGCTGCTGTGCGAGTTATGAGGGGACAAACGCGTTTGATCCACAGCTTGAGTTTCTGAATCTGATTTTCGGTAGATAAATCCACTTATGCCAGAACTCGAAAAAGGAGGAATTAGATTTAATTTTTCTTTAAAGAGTAACTGATTTTTTTTCTCTGTTAAAGGATTGGAATTGGGTTTGATTGATTAATTTCAATATCAATGTTGTAATTTGTGGGAGATGAGATGAAAAGAGAAGAGGTTTGGTATTCGTTTGAGAATTAATGCATGACAAATGTTCGATAAAATGCTTGTTAGGAAAAGATTGCTTGAATATGTATTTTTTGAGATTTTATTGATTCTTAAGAGAAGTTTGTCTAGTTTGAATGTTATTGATCCATGAACTTGAATCTTGCAACGGAATTTGATTATGAAGATAATATGTAAATTGAATTCTTAGGAATGGTATAGTTATTGATAAATTACTAAACAAGAGATTTAAAGTTGGAAAGTTTTAATTGAATAATTGGAAGTAATACACCTGAGGTACTTGAGGCAAGCCTAAGAGATAATCATATTTGAAGTAAATAGATTGGTTTGGCTTGAGCAATATTGAAGAAATTATAGTTATAAATGATGATAATTGGATAAATTTTAAGAGATGAATTTTGGTATTTGGAATTTTGAATGGTTGTAGTTGATTGGGATTGTGTTAGAAGTGGAAAGAAGTTTTTATAAATTATAGGGAATTAATTAAAGTTTCAATTATTCATATTCTTATAGGATGTGTGAAAAAAAGGGGTCTTGATAGGAGTTAAAAGGCAAAACCTTTGAAAATTGGGAACATTGCAAGTAAGTGGATGGCGTCCAAACTGATTTTTCTTGTCAAAATCTCCTCTAATAAAATATTACGTTTTTTCTGCAAATCCTTTTAATAGCAATAATATGATTATTGGATATTTGTTGGTTAAAATTACTTTATTTGAGAAATTATTTTTACCAAATTTGAAATGTTATTTGATCAATTAAAATAAGTTTGGACTTTGATTACGAGATTTTTATTTTATTAAATATTATTGATACAGAAAATGATTCATGCGAGTTCGACATTGAAAATAAAAATTTTATTTAATAATGATTATTTTCTCGCATGTTTGAAAATAAATTTGGAGGGGATTTTATACAGAACAGTGATTGCTATCGGCAATTTCGTTAGCCCTTAGCACGCCATGGTCACAATTAGGTAGTTCAACTTTCGTGAGTATTGTACTCACCTTTGTTATTCATGGGTCTTATACCTGCGTTTGTTTTGTAGTTTTAAACCGCATTTGGTTATTTACTCTTGTGGATTGTGTGCCCGCGTTTGCTTCGTAGCTTCGGCTACGTTTAGTTATTTACCCTCATGGACTGTATGTCCACGTTTGTGAATTGTTCTGATAAATTCCCAAAAAAATGAATTTTTAGTTGATAATTTCATATTTAATGGTTTTTAATTGATCAATATTATTATTATTATTTTATTATTTAATTATTTTGATTTGTCAAGATCAGATGTTAAAGTTATTTTATCATTATTGATTTAAATGTTTTTGTTATTGAAGTTATATAGATATTTTATTCTAAGTTAATCGATTTGCTTACAGTGAATTGCTTTCTCATGTAATTTATATAATTATTGTATTTTATTCATTGTGATTTTATAAAATATTATGGTTGGGATGTTATTCATTGGAAAGTTATTATGGCCTCAGATGGCGTAACTTACAATGTACGTCCTGCTTTTCAATGAGGAATTTTTGCTGAGCTTGGTGGAGATTTGTTCTGTAAATATTTTCCATTGATGTAAATATGAATTTATGAATTATATAAAAAAATATATGATTAGGTGCTCCACATAGACTATAGTTACGGTCCTGAATCTTTTTGTTGTATTGTCTGTCTGTTGCTGTGGAGTAGAACCTCATACTGTTGGGTATAAATTGTAAAATTTCTGTTGTAGAGATTTCGGAAGGTCTTACTTACAGGAGGTGCTGCCGAAATTTAAAAAAAAAAAGTTTGATATTTTGATTATTTGAAAAATAAAAATTTAATATATATAATCAGGCTGACAATAAGTCATATGCATTGATTCAGAATTTTCCTTAACTGAGACTTAAGATGTGTATTTAAGTGTACATCATGTGCCGTTCACTCTCATATTTTAGGGCGTGACAATAAAAAAACTAAAGGTCTTTTGTCGACTAAAGAAAAGTGAAGTCATGGGTGAGTAAAGCAGGTCTTTGCCATTCACTATAGGAGAAAAATAAAAGAATGTTAAAGAAAGATAGGAAAAAGTGTAGTGACCGACAGCTGGGTTCAATCTCGGAAATATTGATAAATAATAAACGTATGCTGAGGTTTTGGTCCTTTCGTCTATATCTCTTCTCTCCCGTTTCTCTCTATTGCATGTAGTTGTAGTTCAGTGACACCAAATCTAGCAGTGAATAGAGTAGAAAGAAAGATCTGTGCAACAACATGCTTCCACTGTTTTTAGTTTTGTATCTGATTCAGTTTTCTTTTTATTTGGCAAATAGTGATATGATTTGGCTTGTGCAGATTACAGTTTGGACACAACCGAGAGATTGAAAACTTGCAATGGAATATACTGTCTATGGAGAATCTTCGTCCAGCTTTGATGCTTTAAATTCAAGTCCGAAATGGAAATATGATGTTTTCTTGAGCTTTGCAGGAAAAGACACGCGGTTGAAGTTTACAGATCACTTATATGATGCTTTCAATAGAAGTGGGATTAGAGCTTTTAGGGATGATGAAGGAATAGAGAGAGGGGAAGATTTATCCAAGCAACTGCTTCAAGCAATTGAGGATTCTCTGTGTGCAGTTGTTGTTCTTTCTGAAAATTACGCAAATTCAAAATGGTGTTTGAATGAACTCCAAAAGATTCTTGAATGTAGGAATAAATTGGGTCAACGAGTTTTTCCAATTTTCTATGATGTAGATCCATCTGATATAAGGTATCAGAGAAAGAGTTTTGGAGAAGCTTTGGCTAAACATGAAGAGAGATTCAGAAATAACAACCACAATCACAAAGGTCTTGGTTGGTTTTCAGCATTCGTGAACCTCGGTTTGGGCTTCAAACAACGTTTTTGGCTGCCAAACACTCATTCTAACATGTTCAAACTGCAAAATTGGAAAAAAGCTCTGTTTGAAATTGGCAACTTGTCCGGTTGGGATACCAGGGGTCGGTAAGTTTTCTTTCACAGTGATTTAATCATATTCTTGAAAAGTCACATTTTTTTTAAATTTTTATAAGTATATGTCTCATGTTGAACAGTGTTAAATTTTTTTAATTTTTTTTTGTAGGCGTGAATCAGATTTGATAAAAAATATTGTTGGAGGGATATGGACTTATTTATGTTCTAAATTACCAACTTATGGTGATAATCTAGTAGGGATTGAATCAAAAATGGTTGATATGATGTCATACCTGGAAATTGGGTTGGATGACGTCTATTTTGTAGGATTGTGGGGTATGGGCGGTATCGGTAAAACAACTCTTGCTAGAGTTGTTTACGATAAAATCTCACATAAATTTGATATGTGTTGCTTCCTTGCTAATGTTAGAGAAACCTCACAAAGAGAAGGTCTAGTTTCTTTACATAGAAAGCTTCTTTCTCATCTCAAAATAAAGAACATGGAAATTGATGATGTGTATGAAGGAAAGAAGATATTACAAAATCTTTTTTTCAATAAAAAGGTTCTTCTTGTCCTTGATGATGTAGATCATATGAAACAAATTCAAATTTTGGCACAAAGTCCAAAGTGGTTTGGTAGAGGAAGTAGAGTAATCATAACAACAAGAGATAGCCACTTGCTCACCACATCTAAAGTGCAAAGAATATATGAGGTGAAAATCATGAAGGAAGAAGAATCTCTTCAACTCTTATCTAACAAAGCATTCAACCAAGATCATCCTAAAATAGATTATTTGGAGCTGTCTATCTCTGTGGTTAAATATACAGGAGGTCTTCCTTTGGCACTTAATGTTTTGGGTTCTTTTCTTTGTGGAAGAAGTAAAGCTGAATGGAGAGATACTTTGGATAGATTGAAGCAAATTCCAGATAATGATATTCTTCAAATACTTAAAATAAGTTATGATGGCTTAAATGAGGAAGAAAAGACAATATTTTTGGATATTGCTTGTTTTTTCAAGGGATGGAGGAAAGCTGAAGTAGCCCAAATTTTGGAAGATTGTGATCTTCACCCGACAATTGGAATGAAAGTTTTGATGGAAAAAGCTCTACTAATTGAAAAGAAAGATCTTTTGGGACACTGTGTTTTAGAAATGCATGATTTACTTGAAGACTTGGGGAGGTATATTATTTGTCAAGAATCTCCCAATGCTGGCCAGCGTAGTAGATTGTGGGAGTTAGAGGACATTAATGAAGTATTGAAAAATAAGAAGGTAAATGCCTTTTTTCCCCCCTGAACAACTCATTTTATTGAAACACACATCTCGTGTGTAAATTAATTTCGTATGATTTTCTTCCTTGTCATTCTAATGTTATTTCTTGGCAATGGATAGGGATCTAAAGCAATGCAAGCTATTGTGTATCGGTATTTAGGTGATGATGTAGTAGTACATCCTCAAGTCTTTTCAGAGACGAGTAATATTAGACTACTCATCTTATCAAGGGATTTCAAGCCTTTTGGTGGTCTCAAATGTCTTCCTAGTGCATTAAAAGTTTTTCAATGGCGAGAATTTCCTTTAGAAACTCTCCCATTTGAAGCTCCGTTGGATAAACTTGTTGATATTCAAATGCATAAGAGCAAAATAAAGAAACTTTGGAATGGGGTACAGGTGAGGTGCTTCAGGAATCATTCTTTCTTTCTCTCATACACACACGTGCACATGATTGGTGTTGATGTTATATTGATACCGTTTTGTTAGACTAATTTTCCAATCTTTAATTTGTTTGATCAGTTTATGAAAAAGTTGAAACGCATTGATCTGAGTTATTCCCGATACTTGAACGAAACTCCAGACTTCTCAGAAGTTCCAAATTTAGAAAAACTAATTCTTGAAGGATGCTCATCTCTTGTCAAGGTTCATCCTTCACTTGGAAAACTGCACAAGGTTGTTCTGGTGAACTTGTGCAACTGCAAGAATCTCAAAAGCCTTCCAAGAAAATTGGAAATGAACTCTCTGATAGAATTAAATCTTTTTGGGTGCTCCAAAGTTGAACTGCTCCCAGAGTTTGGGGAAGGTATGAAAAAATTGTCATATCTTGAAATGAGAGACACTTCTGTAACTATACTTCCCGGATCACTTGGGTTCTTGAGCGGTCTTAGATATTTGTATTTGGAGTCCTGCAAAATTCTTAATCTTCACGGGTTGTTGGAGAATCTCAAAGCTCCCCAAGTATCTGGCTTTCATCTAACATCATTAACAATGTTATATTTAAGGGCGTGTGGACTTAGTGATGAATCAATTCCCGATGATTTTGGAAGTTTATCTTCACTTATTTTATTGGATTTGGGGCAAAATAATTTTGTCAATCTGCCTGCCGGTTGCTTCTCTAGTCTTTTTCGACTCCACTATCTTTTTTTAGATGGTTGCTTTAGGCTTAAGTCATTGCCAAAGCTTCCACCACGGTTAAGTCGATTGGATGCAATGGATTGTGTTTCAATGGAATCTTTATCAAATGTTCAGTTATGGGAACCAGTTTCATCACTTAACCACGAGGTATCTTTGTCTAACTAATCAGTTCTATCTATTGATTTATGTGTATGATTTTCTTGGTAAAGTTTAATTTTATGCTTATTTTGTTTTGAACTATTACTAACATGACTGTTTATTTCTTTACTTCAGCACCGCTGCCAAACTGGATATGTGAATCCACAGCTCAAGCATATTGAGGTTTGTCTGTCACCCTTCTCTAATTTTTTTTTTTCCGTGCTCCTTATCTGGATATAATTACCGTTGATGAAAGTTTAATACTGTTGCAGTCAGAATATCTTCCTCAGAGAGATTTTCTTGCAATTATTCCGGGATCGATAATACCATCATGGTTTCCAAACAAAGATTATCCTTTGTGGAATGATGAGGATTATAGCTTGTACCATGATGGAGAGGATTACATAATAAAGGTGAGGATACCTCAATATTTCCGTGAAAGTGAATGGTCCGGAATTGTTGTATGCCTGTGTCTCTCAAGTGAGAACAGCGATGAGAAAGCGTGGATTTCATGGAGTAGTAAAGCTCCTGAAGATAATAATTTTGTATGGAAAGGGTGGGAACATCGTTTTGAACTGAGTAGGTCTCTTGACCTTGATGATCTCTGCATAATGGTGTTCGAGTTAAATGAGAAAACATGTTGGCAACATCTAAGAGGTCATAACAATTCTCTTCACATTAAACTTAGCCTTCGTAGTTATCGTTGTAATGCATATTCGAGGGGTCAAATATTGGGTTGTGGATGGCGGGTTTTATGTGAAGAAGACATGAAACAGTGGCGAAACAACATCCATTGTTTCAACAGATTAAGAGCTGTTGGCATTTCTCAAGTCTGCCTTCCTGACTACGTATTGCACAGAAGTATAGAAATTAATAGCAAGCCTACCAGGTGCATTAATTACAAGAGGGGCAAGGAGAGGAACAGGTAATAATGACTTGCCTATTTCGTTGCCCTGTTTATCCTGGAACTGTCTTCAGTGCTGATTATTATTTTTATTTTTTAGGTTGTATTTATCAAAATAACATTTTATAAAAATTAAAAAAGTTTTAAATGTTAAATATAGATCTTCTAGGATTAATGTGGACAATCAATTTATAAAAATTGTAAATTTTTAAATATTAAATTTAGATTGTTTAGATTAGGGATGAGCATATTTATCCAAAAAAAATTCTAATTTTTAAAATTTTTATTTTATTAAATGCATAATATGAAGGCAGACCCATTTATCCCTGCTACTTTTAACTCAAACACATGAAATTAAATTAACTACTTCTCTTTATCAAATCAAATTGTTGAAACCATTCACAGGTGATCTGCGGATCGGCAAGCACATCCATGGGCGATATTAAGTCAAGAGTTGCAGCATCGAAGGTGATGTATTCATACGTCTATTTGTGTTTATTTCTTGACGGATTTTATGAATTTCATCTATTGAAGTGACTTTAATTCCCTGTTACCTTCCAATTCCATTCATTATCAATTCCAACATATAGTTTCAGGGGGAATATATTATATTCTGAGTTGAATATATAAAAATATCAAGACATGTCTTCCATTATCTCCTCTTCAAAACACGTCTTTTAAGGTTCATAACAATGAAGGGCCCTTTTCAGTTCTTACTATTCTTTAATCTTTTATATTTAAATGTATCTTGTAACATCTGGAACTCCGCCTATGTTATAGCCGGTCCCAAAGGATTTTCCTATAAAGATTGGACTACATCAGGGATCATCTTTGAGTCCTTATTTGTTCAACTTGATTTTAAATGTTTTGACGGAACATATTCAAGAGGAAATCCCGAAATGTATGCTCTTCGCGGATGATATAGTTCTTATAGCAGAGACAAGAGAAGAGGTTAATTGTAAACTTGAGTTATGGAGGATATTGGAGTCGAAAGGTTTTCGTCTGAGTAGAAGTAAGACGGAATATTTATATTGTAAATTTGGTAAAGGAATATTCGACAATAATTTGGAATTGAAATTGGGAGATCAAATTATACCTCAAGTGGAAAAGTTTAGATATTTGGGAGCCATTATTCAAAATGATGGCGAAATCAGTGGAAATATTTCACATAGAATTCAAGCTGGGTGGTTTAATTGGAGAAAAGCTAAAGGAGTTATTTGTGACCGTAAGGTGCCTAATAAACTTAAAGGAAAGTTTTATCGCACTGCTATCAGACCGGCAATGTTATATAGTAGTGAATGCTGGGCTCCAACGAGACAGCAAGAGCATAAAGTTGGAGTAGCAGAGATGAGAATGTTACGATGGATGTGCGGACATACACGTAAAGATAAAATTCGAAATGAGCACGTACGTAAAAAAGTGAGGGTGGCACCTATTGAGGAAAAAATGGTAGAAAATCGGTTGAGATGGTTTGGGCATGTACAAAGAAGACCAAGGGAGGCACCAGTGAGAAGAGTGGAACATATAACTTTGAGTCCGATTAAGAGAGGTAGAGGAAGGCCTAAGAGAACACTCTTGGAAGTTGTTGAACGCGATCTCTTAATTAATAATATTCCTAAAAGTTTGATAAATGATAGAGCACAATAGCGTCTTGCAATTCATGTAGCCGACCCCACCTAGTAGGATAAAGGCTTGTTGTTGTTGTTGTTGTTGTATCTTGTAACATCTGGATTTCAATTTCAAGGACTTAGAATTTAATAGAAAATAATTGGGAATTCTTTAAGGTTAATTATAGAGCCTAATTAAGTGGGATATTGCTTAAAATAAGGTTTAGAATCAAGTTTTGGTGGATTGAGGACCTGGATTGTAAAGGTTTTTGGACCTGGATTGGCCCATTATTTGGTACTATCTGCACAGGACGTAAGGACCACAAACTGATCATTTCAACATTTGGTGGGACTTTGGGTAAGAATGATTATAGGCGCTAAGTAGCGATTTTCCCTTCATATGTTCGTTATTAGAATTATTTAATTATTATTTATATCCTTTAATGTTGTCTCTTTTTGGTAAAAAAAAAATTGTCTTTTCAATGCAAGCCAAACATAGAAATTTAGATTAATGGAAAATGTTAATTCGCTCAACAGTTAACCAAGCATGCTTGCCATGTGGTAATTGATAGGGGTATATAAGTTGGTGTGCTACTCATATCTTATTTCACTTAACTAATTATACTATCTTATGTCATTTATTTGTGCATTCTTAGGCATTAAATCGTACATAATAAATCACATCTTTGTGGTTTTTAGACAATTATTATATTTGCCTCTCTTATCTCAACTTTTACCTTATTTCTGGGTTTTAGGGTACGGTTTTAGGGTACAATTGTCCTCCATATGCTGCTTACATCCCCACTCTATGGGCATTCATTATTAAGCTCAGATTTCCTTGGATTATGCGCCAAAAAAATTAATTAATTCATTAATAAAAGTCCTTCCTAATGTATTTGATTTTGGATAGGTTATGTTGTCTTATTTAGAGTACGTATTAAGTCTTGTTCCACTCAATCCAATAATTATAAATTCCTAAAATATTTCTAACTGAAAAAAATTAGTTCTCATTCACATATTTTTTATTTGACATGTTAGAAGTAAGATGCATTACTCAATTAAAAAAAAATGTGTTGTATTGTTAAAATTATGTGTATACCAACTTAGATTGGTCTAGCTAAAAGGAGTAATTTCTTGCAACATGATAAGCTAAGCCTTGAATCCCTATTGAAAAAAGTGTCTACATTTAGTGTTTCGAATAAAATTACTTTCAATAAAAAATATCAATGGATAATACAAAATAAGTGGATAATCCCATCTTTATTCCATGCATGCATGGATCTCTTTGATATTTTATATTAATTAATATACTCATGTTCTCATCTACCTGAAATATATCTTATTTTCCAGTTCTACAATTCCACATCTGATTAGTAAGAGATCTTCTATTATATTCCTATGTATATTTGAAATTTTTTTTATATTTGAAGCTATAGGTCCTGAAATATCTAGACTTTGAAATTTTTTAGTACAATGTTCTCATTTAATATTTAAAATTGGTGTAATGTTATCAATTAAAATTAGTGATGGACATTTCTAATTATAGACATTGATGATAAAAATTGTGACAGACAGAAATCTGTTGCAAATTACAAAAATTAGTGATAGATATAGGATGTTGTCACATTTTGGGCAAACTTTATCAATTTAGTGGCAAATATACATTTGTCACTAATTTTCTTAACTAAATCTTTATGTTAGTGACATATACTTTTAATCAAAAAATTAGTGAAATGCGCTTAAATATAAAATAAAAAGTTTACAATAAATATAGAAAAATTCACATGAAGAAATCTAAATAATTATTATGTAAGTTTAAATATAAAAATAAATTTTATCATATGATAATATTTTAATTATGATAAAGATACTATAAAATTATTTATACTAATATATAATTTCATAAAACATATTAATTGATATTAAATACTATACCTATTGACTAATAATATATATTGATTTATATATTTATGCATTAATGTGTGTGTATATGATATATACACACACACATATATTATCAACATATTTAAATAATAATATATTAAATATATGAAGATATGTGTGTGTGCGCGTGTGTGTGTGTGTGTGTGTGTTAAATTTTGTGTGTTAATGTTGAAACGTCACAGTTCAACTGGCAAAATGTTTGTATGAAAGGAAGAGATTTTGGGTTCGAGACAATGCAATGCCAGTAACAAGGACAGCTAAAATAGATTGTTGATATGACAATAACAACATAAATGGTAAGGTTGATATTTATTTGAGAGGCGGTATGGGAGGTGACGATGCTTGGCCCCGCAAAAAAAAAAAAAAAATTAATTAATTATAAAATAAATTAATGATGAGTTAAATAAATTGTTGATGTAGCAACAGTACGATGGGTGGCGGGGGTGATATAAACTTGAGAAGTAATATGGCAATGCTTTGACCCATAAAAAAATTTAATTATGAAATAAATTAGTGGTATATTAGAACGGGTGATTTGTCATTAAATTTAAAATTAGTTACAGATTTGTTTATCACTAATTTCATTTTTTTCTAATAGATATTCTTACAATTAATAAATATTAATTTTAACTGTTAATTGATTAAAAGAATATAAAAAATGACTTAAAAAATTATAAATAAATACCTTATAAAAAAAAATTAAGGGCAAAGAGGTAAAAAAAATACTTACAAAGGTTTTCCCCCCAAAAAACACCCAATATTTTTAATTGAAGAAAGGTGCAAGAGTGTCCATGAAATTTAATTAAATGGGCGTAAGAGTGTAAATTCGTTAAATGCCACGTGTGTTTGTCATCTGTCAATTTTGACTCTGATTGTTGCTTACGTGGAGGATGGTCTGAAATTTTTCTTGCCTGGAATCCTCAATCCTTCACTTCATAGTTCTTAATCGAATTCTGTTTCAACTGGGACATGGACAATAAAAAACAAATCTCCCGAACAAAAGCTGAAGGAGCCTATCTAAGAAGTACACCAAAATCTCTCTTTCGCTACTAGAATGGAGAAGATGCCAAGCAATTTCTTAGGGATTCTGTGAAACATAATCTCAGCCAATGATAAATACCTCTCTTCTCTACCCGCCTCAATCGCAATTTCTCTCCTCTCTGTCTATTATCTCCTATTTATAATCTCTGTCTCCAAGAACAAAACATGAATATGGGTACTTCTTTTGCTGCTTGGGCTATTTGCAGACAATTTCTTCGATGAAGGAAACTTCCGATTATTCGGCCGGGAAAAAAAATTCTCTTTTCATCACAGAATCCTTAAGTGAAACAAATCGATTTTCATGCACTTCTTGATAGCAAAAGGAAGTGGATCTAATTATGCCCTCGAACCCGCTTCAGAGTCAACCAAGATTTTAGAACTGTGGGTGAGAACCTGGCAACCAAGATTTTGGAGCATCCTCCACATAAGCCATGGTCAGAGTCCATCTTCCCATGTGGCAAGCACATTCATTGTTAAGTGGCAAAAATTAGCAGACGTTTGAGATGTTTAATGGTTTGAGTATTCTTGCACAAAATTAACTTCATGAGCACTCTTACAGCTTTATTCACTTAGAGATATATACTATGTACTTCTGAAGAAAAAGTGAATGCGTATTTTTTGCCCATTTGTTCAAAAATTAATATGACTAGATTCTTTAAGTTAAAAATAAATATTAAGAGATAAATATTGTTTCTTTTTCATGTAAAAGACCAAAATATCGTTACAATGAGAAATTTCTGGCTGTCGTGAGATTACCAGATCATTGTTGTTGGCAACAACACCTGTAACTGTAAGCAACTATAAAATATTATATTTATTTTAATAGTCTTATTAAAATATCAAAACTTTAATATATATATATATATAAATATAAAATAATTTAAACATTGCATGAATCACTTAATAGTGGGTCAAAGTGCTTAATGATCCCATAATCACTTGATAGCAAACCGATCAAAAT